AAAAAAAAAAAAAAAAAAAAAAAAAAAAGAAAACATGGAAAATAGAGGAGAGAAAATAATAAGTACTTAAGGCGATGATAATATTACGTAACAAATCGCTATTGTGTACAACGATCCTTTCGTAGCCCGTTCTTTGAACTAACATCAAGAATCGAACTACGTCAATGGGAATCGATTCGTTAAAGCCTCATTCGGATCAGTTGAATCTCTCTCGAATCTCAGACAATCTCAATTAATCCAAACGAGAGCTTTGCATTCATCCCCACGAACGAAGAAACAAAAATTATGAGAACGAAAGGAGAAAGGAGAACAAACTGCGTTGTTAAATAATATTTAAGTACATCGATCAACCAACGTTCCTTTCCTTTTTCACGCGTTTCTTCTTCTTCTTTCATACACAGAAGTTCTGCGAAATGTATCTGGCGATCGCGTTTGTGCTATCTCGATAATCGTTCCGTTTCTTCTTTCTTTTTTTACTTTATTTTACATTCTCTTTAGTCTATCTATTCTTTCTTTCCATTCTTTCGCGTGTCGTTCGTTTTCTTTTCACTTCTGTTGCTTTTGATTTGACCGGACGGAGAGAAGGTAACTCGAAAGATCAAGCTCAAACCTCGCCAAACGATCGAGAAACGATATCGGGTTGTTGGATCCTCTTATACGATCACGCGTTCCGTCCCACGATGACACTTGTTGACTTGCGGTCTGTTCAGAATCGACTTCGGTCCCTCGAGCAAACGAACGAATACCTCGAGATTTGACTTTCTTATCTTGACTTTTTATTCGATGTTTGAACCGGTGTCGGTTAGTTTTTAAATTCAGCTCGTCACGCAGCTTTGTACGTTTGGTTGCAGAATCGTGAAGCGGGATTCAATGATCTCGAGGACGAAATTTCGAGCGGATCAATCCATTCCGAACAGATCGTACATCCACACACTGTCATCCAGTACAAAGTATATTCCCTAAAATATATATAGAAGTAATAACGCGATTTGTGCTGAGAAACGCTAACGAACTATTTACAAGGACAACTTACAATTACAACTGAACGAAAAATCTCGGCAACGAAGAACGTCATTTCCGTTTGCATTAGGATCATCGTCGGCTCGGTGAACATTCTCTTCTCACATTCATACGCACATACTTTCACTCACTCTTTGTCTCTTTCTTTACTCGTTCAATTTTACTTTCTCTCTCTCTCTCCCCCCGTGCCTTTCTATTCGTTATCTTTCTCTTTTCTGCTTTTTAAATAACTACTATTTACATACGATGCACACACACGATCCGTCGATCAAACGACGATCGAACACGTACCCTCTTTCTCGTCGGCGACGAGAGATCATTCTACCTCTTCTTCCTACCTCTTGTTCCACGTCAACCCCTCGCAACGTGACGCGACATATGGTATTTTGGTATCGTGCCTCTTGAATCTTTACGGTTGAGGACAATTTGAAGAATCGATTTGTCACATTTGTCAGTATAGGTGTGTGTATGTGAGCCATAAGAATATTTTCTGTTCCTGTTGTTATAGAATTTTCAAGACCAATTCAACAATATACACGCATTTCCATTAAATTAAGTAATTAAGTGCCGTCTGACATATGCAGCGATTCCTCTCCTGCTATTCTACATAAGTAGAAAAAAAATCCTCCTTCTACGTTGCATGTCGCCTTCATCTTCTAAAAAGAGCTGCTACGTACTTTGCCTCAAGCTTCCCAATCCAAATCCCCAAGAACTGATATCGTCATGATTTTTCAATATTCTTCCAAAAGCAAAGGAGATAGAGAGTATTATATTCCTAACATACGTGCATCATCTACCGCGGGTGAAACGTTCCTTTGAATCTCGAAGACGTGACGCGGCAAGGGGTTGAATCATCATCGATTGGTATACACCTGGAGAAACGAAAAGCTCGATCGTCAACTGAAGTTCAGAGAAGCTCTATAAGACACAACATCAACCCCATGTTCATTCTTTATATATATAGGACGTGGAGAGCATCCGATGTGCCTCCGGATAATCGTTCAACACCGACATAACTATATAACAAACCGTACAGTGCTGTAAAGTTCACGTCAGAACGTCACTTCGTATATCGTTGCTCTCGAGTTGGCTTGCGAAACGACCTAGCAAAGTATCTCCTCTCTCTCTCTTATATTCTTTTATATCGTTCCAATTCATATCTCTCTGGTTTTCAAGTGGAAGCACCTTCTTCTGTATGTCCTGGCTGCGTGAACTATCTTCTAAACGTTTTACAAATATTCGTTTGCAGACATTTTGCATCTACATCGTTTACTGTGAAATTGTGCAGATCTGCAAGTATATAGAAACCTCGTTACATAGATATTGTCTGCAGACAATGTCCGTGATTTTGCAGCACAGTTCGAGTAGTGTAAATACGATATCGATGGAAATCACAGCGCGGACCGAATTTTTCCTTTAGAAAAAAAATCTCCAATCTGTAAGATGTTGCAACTCGCGTTACAGGCTACAAACGTTGCAAACGCTTGTTAGTATCTCGTGTATCATACGTGGCCGCTGGAAAGCTCGAACTGCTCGTGTTACATATTAGATATTTAGACAACGATAGCGTGTAACGTACTGACTCTAGAAACTTGTTTTTTTTTTTTTTTTTTTTTTTTTAAACATCTAATTTTTGCTCGTAAGTACTCTAAGTTGTGTGTATGCGTGTATGTAGGATTCGTGTGATTAATTCTGTCGGCTAAGGAACGATAGACTCTGCGCTACCCAAGCTCGCGAACGCTTGCTTGCTTTCACGTTCCCAGACGGAAAGTTTGCAATTCTTTTTTTTTTTTCTTTTTTTTCTTTCTTTCTTTCTTTCTTTCTTTTTTGAGCAAAAAATTTGCGACAACTGCTCGAATTCTCGTCCATCGCGTTTAAGTACTGGCCACGCCACCATCTCCTCGTGTGTGTATCACAGTCCGCCATTTTGGTGTCCAGTCAACGTTCAACACATCCGATTTACAACCGCCTAGCTATCGACTTAGGACAATATGCGAAATTAGATTGATCAAACTCATTAAGTCATCGGATTCGAAAGTATTTGAAACTTGCTCTCAAGTCGAGTATCACATCCCAATGAATGAATGAATATATACGTTCGTACTCTCGATAATATTTAAAAAAAAAAAAAAAAAAAAAAATACAAAAAACGAGATCTATTGAAAATTTTTCAACGGCCTAAACTCGATGACCAAGGGTTGTACGCTCTTTCTTTATTTCTATCTACTCTTCTATTCTCCTAAATTCTTCCTTGCTCAACGAAACTCGTCAATTCCTCGATATCTCGAGCCGGGTAAGTTCGACAGAATTTTTCATTCGTACGCATTCGTTCCGCCCATTGACCATTCGAGAAGGAAAATAACAACTTTTTCGTCGAGCGGACTATGCTACCAGCATCGTGTCTTCTCATCGTTATATCTTTTACGATATATATATTTATATTTATATATATATATTTTTTTTCGGCATTTTTTTTTTCCTCTTTTATTGTTATTTTCGACAAAACATCAGATTGGTGCGGCATAATCTTGGGTGCGTAGAAATTTTGCTTCATCATGCAGAGAACGACGGTAATCGTATTCAGTATAAACTACTCGAGATTACTGTTACACCTCGTTTCAATTAAGTACTCTCAGTGACAGACATTTAAGTATGTTATCGATACCAGCGATGTAAGTCTAGCTCCCTCTGCGAACAATGTGCGACGACATCTAGAAACATATCGTACGATCCTGGATCTTTTCATGTTCAAATGAATCCATGTTTACCAACGCGATCGGGCGCGTGGTCCCAAAGACACGATTCTGTCCCTCCTCTCTCGTATCCAAATTCGAGGTCATCGAGGCTGTGTGCGTGTAATCTACTAACTTTCTAAAGAAAAAGAAAAAAAAAAAAAGAAAAAAAAACAACAACGCTTCTTTGCGGGTACGTGTTTTGTGCTCATTTGCTGCTATATCATCATTGCTACTAAACATATCTCTTCGAGATCGCACCTCTTCGTTTCCTCTTCGAGGATCTTCGTTACATCCAAGCACGATGCTTGGACTGTACTCTACAATGTCTCGTCCGACCAGAGTATACTCTCTTCTTTCCTTTCTTGAGTCTCTCGCGACTTTCTACGTGTAATACTTCCGGTCATGCGAGAGATCGAAGCGTGGAGAAGGGACGTGCAGTCATCACTATGTACTCGAACGGAAGTACTTGGCCACGCTGTTGACGAACTCCTGGCGCTACAATTGTACCTGGAACGCTTGGGTGGCGTTTGGCATTATGAAGGGGTTCGTCGTGCTCGCTTGCCTTAGGTTTCTCGCCGCTATCTCTGCCCATTCCGCGTCGAAGGGGTCCGAGGGCCCGGTCCTGGTAGCTTGTCCCATCGCTGCTGAACCGAGTGACAAGGCCCGCGCGTGAAGCGGTGGCGCTCGTCGAGGACTCGTTTGCCCTTGGAGAGGAGATTGCACTGAGGATGGCACCGAACTGGTTATACTACCTAGCCATTGCTCTGGTTTCGGCAACGTGGCTGTCGTTGGAACTGGCTGCACCTGGTCACGTCGAAAGCGGATCGATTAGCCATTTCTAGTCCAAAGTCCTAGCTAACTAACTAAGCAGGTAGCATTGAACAAAAGTTTACTCACCGCTGGTGTGGGAATAGTGTTGGGCACTGGAGTTTGGCTAATTTGGCTGGTATCGTTGATAATACTGCCAGACAGAGCCGGAGAGACGGACGCCACGCTGGTGGTCGGTGAACTTGTTTTCGGAGTTATCGCGGAAGTCACTGCTGGTATCGACGACCTATTCACAGCTGTCGTGGACGCGTTCCCTAAGGAAGACGTGGATGCGGTGCTGAAGGCCGGGCTGGCCGAAGGTGGTGTCCCGAAGACACCGACGGTAGTGATTGGTGCGGGAGTGCTCATGACTATCGGTGAGGGCGCGTTCGTCCTTGGAAGGATTGGGCTAAGGTTACTGGCTCGGTTCAGAATCGGCGTGAGCCTGTGATTCGAACCCAGAACGGGCGATGAAGCTTCCTGCCAGCTAGGTCCGACGTGGTTCAAATTACTGAGATCATCGTTCTTGTCGTTGTTGTTGTTGTTGTTGTTGTTGTTGTTCAGGCTCGGGCCATTTTGTAGCTTCAACTCGTCCAAGGAGTTACTGCTCGTCACTGCAGGGAAACACGGTGGATTTCCATTTGATAAATTTATTCTTTTAAGTAACAGATGAAATAAAGATGAAAACCAGCAGGAAATGATAGTCTTATCAACGACAAGTTTTATCCCTACTTCTATTCTCTCGGGTTCGTCGTTCATTTCGTGATAAAAAGTACAAATATACCTGGTGGAGTTTTGTTAGCGGTGGTGCTACCGAACAGTTGCTTAGCAACAGAGCTTGTACTGCTCTGCGTAGGAATTGGTCCAAAGTCATCGCTGCTTGAAAGAAGAGAAAGCCCTTGTGAAAGCTGCTGACACATCGCTGACACACTGTCTTGGCCACCAGGCGATATTTCAGGTATCGGACTGACTGTAAGAACATAAGAACGGAATTCTAGTACGATCGAACACTCTACGATTCTAAGTGATGAACATCGTCAATGTATCATAATTTGGTGCTTCGAACTGGTGCTTGAAACTACAAAACGCATGCTGTCGATACGTGAACACGCGTCGATTGTCTACTATACAACAGTGATGTACAATACGTTAATAGAAACAGATGGTTCAGACAATTACAGATTTGTATCGTTCCATGAATTTAGTGAAAGAACAAAAAAAAAAAAAAAAAAAAAAAAGAAAAAATGCGAAATGTTTTTTCATAAAACATACATACAATTTACGATTCAATTTAAACGAAATTTCATCCTAAGGAGCAAGTGTCTACCAATCGATATCATTTCCATTTGTTTTGCAAAGGAACGCAAGCCTGTAAATTCCGAGATCATCTTGCCTTTCTGTTGTGTGTAAAAAACGAGACTACCATTTCAGGAAATAAAAGATTTAAAAGCAAGAAGGTACTTGTTAAAAACGAGGAACATTTAAAAAGTGCTACAGGTTCGTTTACTATCTGTTAGAGATACGTTGTACTTTTCTTTCCACTTTCTCTACTCGATCGACTCGTTCAACTATATTCAAACGAATGAAATGTCGTACAAATGTACAACTGTATATTGAAACACAAGGTAGAAAAGAAACGAGCACCATCCAAGAACATCAAAGGAGGATCAGGCAATAATGGACAATTAACAGAATAGGGAATAATGACCTTCGTCATATCCTTCGAATTCTGTTGCAAAAATGAAGAAGCATATTATTCGATATTCGTTGATACATTAATATATTTAAAGCACGATATTCTTCGGATATCTAGACGATTAAATCGAGCATTTTGAAGTAACATTACGAGAACGTTATCATCTGAACGTGAATCTATTATTCAATTTTTATTCAATTTTAATTTCGACGATATTTTAAATCTCCAATCTGTCTTGCGTTGTTTGCTAATACTCGAATTTCTGGACTAAGTGACGCAAATTAATACTTTTACAATATTCACATTCTACGCGTGAATGCGATATACGTATGGTGGTGTATGTTCGACACCGAGAGTGTACGACTTCATCACGGATAAGATTATCACAGACAGGTATTTGCGTGGTTACTTTTCCATTGGACAATTGCAATCGTATAATTATAATTAAGAAGGAAAAATCATGATAATAGCATAAGTGTAAATATTATTATAAATAAGAGTATTCACCTGGTGGCTTCAAAGGTACGATGTGAGACATGGCAGACGGTATCCGTGACAAGTCCGTCGGCTCGAGGCTGTGGCTACGTGTGCGTTCGAAATTACTGGGAAGATCGTTTATCCGTAAGCTAAGCTGTCTTTTGAACGGCGACGCTTGGTTCAACTGCGTGAAGCCGCGGAAAGAGCCTTGTCGCTCGAGCATCGAGGGGGTGGCGTGCGGTCTCTCGATCGCGAAAGGATTGTAGACTTGTTTCATGGGAGGTACGTCTGCAAACAATCGTTGAAGACACACACGTGACAATCCACGTGATGACAATGTTACGTCTGCTGTGAACACTGACCTACGGCACGCTCGCGCGAATCCTGCAAACGTTCGGTCAGAGACGGATGCTTGAAACTGCCGCTCCTGGTGAACGTTGACGTCTTCGAGTCGAACGTCATGGTGACGCCGCATTCCTTGTCCCTTCGTTGCTTCCTTTCCAGACAGGCAGCGAAAGCGCAACCCACCGCGTGGCTCAAACGCTCTCCCTAAAAGGACACGGAGAAGGG